GCGCAAACCCCCTCAATTTTTTTTTTTACTTTTTGTTTTCGTATTTTCAGTTTTTAGTTTTCTGTTTTTTTTTGTTTTTCTGCACCACTCACCCACTCCAACCCCCACCCCTACCCGCAAAATATTTTTCAACTTACACATTTTAAGGTACAAGGCTTTTTTATGTAAGATGAGCATGGTTCTAAAATATGGGTCAAGTTGGCTGGGTTGGGTTATGACCCTATTGTTTAGCCCATCTTGACCCAACTCATCTTTGCCCAAGTACACTTTGGGCTGGATTGGGCAATGACTCATTTATTGACCTAACCCATCTTGACTCGCCCAAATTCAGCCCAACCCATCCATTTGCCACCCCTGCCCAAAAATCAAAATCATAGTGTTATATTCAACTGAATGCCTAGTTTGATATCAGATGGACCAAGACTTCTGGTAACAATTCTAGCCTTTTTGACATCATTCTAGATAGAAAACTCAAAAATAATGATTAAGACAACTAAAGATTTGAGGTACAGAATTAGCTAAAATCTAAGTACTGGTTAAATTGTTGAAGGCATAAGGCTCACTTCCACATCTATACAACCCAAAAGATGGTTCAAATGGCACGGGCTAGCCAGTTTTTGGGTCGTTCATTCAAAAATAGCCAGCATTTGCAAAGTTATTAAAAAATAGCCACTATTTTGCTGTAACAGAGACCAGTCTAGCATAATATACCGGAGATCGGTGCACCTGTGAATGAACTTCCAGCATATTATTCTGGAACTCCAACACGCCGAAAGTTCCAGCATAATATACTGGAGATTGGAGCACATGTATATGAATTTCAAACATATTATACTGGACCGGTATATTATACTAGAACTCCAGTATATTATGTTGGAGTATTTTTTGGATTTTGAACAGTGTTTTCATTTTTATATGAAAAGTGGCTAAATTTCGATTATATTTGAAACTGTGGCTATTTTTGAATGACCACTTGTAAATCTGGCTATTTTTGAATTTCTCCCAAAGAGATCGTGATAGGCAAACACTCTATTTCCGGGGGATTTACATCTATACCCGCTTTTTGGGTCACGTTTTAACTTGTGCCCGCTTTGCAAAAAAAATTGCAAGCGTATTCACTTTTTCGCGTAACTTCAACATACGGGGCTGAAGTAGCAAAGACAATCACGCAAAACTTCAGCATTCTAGTAGACGAGCCTGAAGTAGCAAGTGTGCTGAAGTTTTTGTTTGTAATTGCATTAAATAAGCTGAAGTTTTTTTTTTTTGTCCTGGATTCATTAGTTTTGTCATTAAGCTTTTTCAAAAATTTCAGCAGAAGATGCTGAAGTTATTTAGTTCATTTGTAAAAACTTCAGCACTATATAAGCTGAAGTTTTTGAAAAAGCTTTCTAACATACTAGATAAATAATCAGATTGCCAACAGTATCTAAATCATAATGGAAACAATAAACATGAAAAGAACAGAATTATCATTGTCTACTAACTTACGTACGTGGAAATATTCACAAATTATTATCTATTAACTTACGTAATTATTTATAATTTATTTTTAAATAATCTGATAAACATATTTATGGCAATCATCCCATGAACTGAAGTTTCATAGCAGTACCAACAACAACAGAAGAAAGAAGAAGAAGAAGAAGAAGAAGAAGAAGAAGAAAAAAACGAAGGAGGAGGAGAAAGGGAGCTGAAGTTGTTTAAAAAGTGGATACAAGTTAAAACTTTTAAAAAATGGGTATAGGTTAAATGGGGGCGACCAAATAAGGCGCCCTGTGCAATTTTTACTCTATTTTCCAAGCGAACTCTGAACATACTTACATATCCAGTGTGGATCGGGGCCTAGTCATGTTTGGTCCACAACGAGCATCTAACACAAGAAATACCACTAAAATTGCGATGCAACTCAAAATTGCAAGCAAAATAAGATAAAAAACTGTTACTCCCCAGGAGAGAAGTGGAAGAAGGCTCACCACGCTATGATAATCTTATACAAGGTGGAATCAATTTAATATATGACCCTTATTCAAGATTCTATTGTAAACGGCCTATTCTATCTTCAGATTATACTGAGTATGTTGTTGTTGTTGACCCCTAGTCAAGATTCAGTAGACTTGGCCTAAGAAAAGAGCAATCGTATATACTTAAGGGCTAAAAATAGAGGTGTACATAAGTCGGGTTGGTTCAGATTTTATAATTACCAAATCAAACCAATTGTGTCGGGTTATTAAATCTAAAGACCAACCAAACCAATAAAACTCGGGTTTTTCTATCTCGTTTTTTCTCGGGTTTTCGGGATATTTGGATTTTTTCGGATTCTTTTTCGATAAAATCTTCGTAGAACAAAACATATAACTTGTGCTCAAAATATTTCTTTAATCCTAGTAAGATGCATCCATATAAAATATTTTTCAAGAAAATAATATAAAATATGAGATGTGTCATAGCATTATCCTAAAATATTCAACAATGAAGACAATAAAATTATGTAATATAAATATTGGTAATTAAAAAGCCATAATAAAAATAAACATAATCTAAAAGTACTAAGTCATGTTAAAATAAGTATAGTAATAAGAGATTATTAATTACATGATTAAACGCTAAAGAAAAAATAAAAATAGGTTATGCATTTTTATCCAAAATTATTGCAAAACAAAAAATAGATATTCGATACATTCCCGTTCGTAGTATTGAATTGAATGTCTTTTGTTAGCATTAGTATTGATTTGATTTTGGTTTGTGCTTTTGTTAGCATTATTTAATTTATTAATATTAATGGCTATAAAATTTATTGGAACATTCAAAAGTTCTAAGTCCAATCTTGAAATAATACCTTAAAAGATAAAATTATGAAATTTTTTAAGAAATATTTATAAATTACATCACAATAAATATATTTATATATTAAATATATCTAAAATTTCTATATATATAATGTCGGGTTGGTTTGATTTCGGTTTGACTTTCTTTGGTTAAAACCAAACCAAACCAATTATGGTCGGATTTTTTTTCCAACACCAAACCAAACCATAATTGGGTTTTTTTTCTCGGTTTGACTTGAATTATCGGGCTGGTGCGGTTTCCTTTGTACACCCCTAGCTAAAAAATAACATATTGTCTCTTACAAAGAGCAGAAGCGTTGCATTTAGAGAAAGAAGAGAGCTTGTCAATGAGGTCCGAGTTTCTTCCTTTTATGTCAATTAAAAAAAAAAAAAGACGATCTTGCGAGTTAAACCAAATACTAGCTTTCTTATTGTAGTTTGTAGCGATTCCAATATTTTGGGCTTTTTATTACTCCCAACCCCAGAGACCCTAGAGAAAAAGGGTCGCTGTTGGACTAATTGTTGAAAAGCAACTAAAAGTCACTAGGAAACCAAAAATGGCCCATACAGGCCTCGAACCAACGACTTTCGCGTTATTAGCACGACGCTCTAACCAACTGAGCTAATCGACCACTTGCTCTATATCTTGCATATGATATAATAAGATGCAGAGCATCTTATGATTTATTTAGCTTCGAATTGGATAATCTAAAATTGATTTAATCTTTTGATTATTCATTAGTTATATGCTCGTCCACTAACAATACAAAAGAAAATTGCACCATTAAGTCACTTAAAAATAATTTTATTAATAATCTTATATAAAAATAGAAAACAATCTTTCATATATTTGTCAAATTTTACTGATTATGTGAGAATATCTTTAAATGTCAATGCATATAACATAAATTCTTATTTTACTGTTGCTCCACTTTTTCCCACTCTTTTCTATCTGCTGGATCCTACGCCATCGCAAAAAGAGTAATGCATTTATGTTGTATTATAGACTCAAATGTGTGTTGTATGAATAGAAGGCATGTTGGGAGAAAGTTATTAGTATTAATTCGGTAATACCGTACATCTAAAAGGTAATATTAGTACTTAATTCTAGCATTAATTAGTCAAATCAATTAATTGCACCTTTATTTAA